TTTTTCCTCCCACAAGCTTATGCCTCCTGCTCCCAAGACAAGCTTTTATTTTCAAAGTCCCACTCAAACTAGTAAGAAGAATCCAGACTGCACAGCATTAACAAGATTTCAATTCCTTAAAGACTGTTGAGTAATATTTCCACTGGGATTTTTTTCCAGAAACACAAACTTTTTCCGTCTCGCTGTCTTATCTCATTGACCTTGAGCCAGTCTGCTAGTTATAAACTTGTTGTTTAAAAGTCAGTTCACTTTGGAAAAAAAAAACACAGGCTGGCATGCCGGCTCGCCCCTTCCTCTCTCCTTTCAGTCAGGGATTTTCACTTTAGTTTCTTTAACATCTTAATGAGGGTATTCATAAATCAAAGACTTACTTTGTTATTGTGTATTTTCACAAAGAGTCGGACACGACTAAACAACAAAAAAATTTCGGCCGTATTTTTGGTTCTCCTTCTTTGGGAATTGGGGGTGGAGTTTTCACACAGCTTTCTGCCATAAGATGGCCCTCCGCCTCCGGTCCGTGCTTGGGTGAATTTTCAGAGGGAAGAAAGACCCAGTTGCTGACAAATCTTCTATCTTCTGGGTTCACCATCTGCTTCGGGGTGACCTCTCCTGGCCTCCCCTTCCATCCCCCCCTTTCTAGAGGGACAACGGGCCGGGCGGTTCCAACTTTTCCCGGGAGCTGTTAGCCGGGAGCTGCTGGCTTCACTGCAATCAAGCTCCGCCTCCCTGAAGTAGTTAACCAATGAAAAAAGAAATCCGCTTGTGGGATTTTCCCTTGCTTGGTGTCACTTTATGAATGGTAGTGAGCACAAGAGGGTACCTGTAAACCTCTCTACTGCTGCTTCTGGTGTTGTCAACATCAAGGCTACCCCTTGCATTTTTCCCCCCGCTGGTGACACAGGTACAATATTGTGCAGCTATAGTGGACCATTTCCTGGCATTCTGAAATGTAGGTACAGAATTTCCCACATTCGTAAACTGGAGATTTTTTAAAGAACTCAATTAAAACCATATTAGCAATACTACAAGAATGCAGTTGGCCAGGCGCTGGTTTGATGTAACACCTACAAGTCACAACAGTAGTATTTATGTCCAACAGCCTGGAATCTAAAAACCCTATCAGTCTTCCAGGTACGGAAGGATAAGAAAACAGGCATTTTATTAGAACTAACATTAATTTGGTCCCTGCATTGGGAAGGCCAAAAATTGCTACCTAACGCAGGACAAACAAGCCAGACTACAGCACCGCAAAGAACTGATAAAATTTTATGTTTGCTGTCATGGTAGCTGATGAGTTATCTCAAACACGGCAAGTGCTCTAGTGTTAAAGATTACAGAGTCATACACACTGATCTACAAATATGAATGGTGGGAATGAAAAGGGTAGTACACTGTCTCCATCTTCTGGCTTAATCCATACAGTATGTGTCTCCCTTCTTCCAAGGACAGGAAAAACTTTTTTTTGAGATTCATTACCAACACTTCTCAAAGTTCTCGCAGAATATTTAGATGTAATTAATTTTATGAGACTAAACAGGAACAATACATGACAAAAATGGGGAAAACTCAAACAAAAGCTGCTTTCTGTGTATTGCCCAGCACACAACTTAAGCTGAAGGACTTAAATGGACTTTAATGCAGTTTACGCAAAGATATGGGCAACATTGCACTTTTAGTCCCTGGCAGATGCTAGACATTATTGTTCTACACTAGGTTCTCTTCTGGTTTAAGTTCAGCCCATCTGCTCTGGCCTTCTGTTCGAAGAACATTGTCTCTCAAGGATAGTAAAGCTTTTGATTCAACTGGACCTGTGTTGGATTTCTGTGCAAATCTTCTAAGGCAGTGGCTACCAACCATGGGTCTTCTGTTCGAAGAACATTGTCTCTCAAGGGTAGTAAAGCTTTTGATTCATCTAGACCTGTGTTGGATTTCTTTGCAAATCTTCTAAGGCAGTGGCTCCCAACCATGGGTCCCCAGATGTTCTTGTACTAAAACTCCCAGAAGCCTTCTCTGCTACACCAGGATTCATGGGAGTTGTAGCTGAAGAACATCTGGAGACCACTGTTGTAAGGAAATGTACTTCTGGCCCAGGATGCCTAAATGTGGGCATTCTTCCTAGTTTTGATCTTGGCTGAGAGCATGACTGCCTGGTCACAACAATGACTTGGAAAACTACAAACCATTTTAGTCATGACTACTCATCCCTGCCGGCAAAGATGCCTTTTGAAAGACCAGGGTTGCTGACTCAAAAGCAGCAGACATCAGTCACAGGCACAATATAAATGCACAAACACCACATCCGTACAGTCTTTCTTTCTTTCTTTCTTTCTTTCTTCATATTCATAAATTGTGGACATACATGAAATATAGGAATATTAAAACAAATTATAATGTTAAGATAATTAGACTTTTTTTAAGCTAGGGATCTACAATTTTATTTTTCAGAGCACAAATCTCATAATTCTCCATCTGGGAATTATACCTGACAGACAGACACCTTACAGACACCTAAATGTGACTTGCAGGTAGAACTCCCACAAGGGAGAATTATGGGATTTGTCATCCAAACATTTTAAAAATAAACAAACCACTTATTTGCATTCTTATTTGTCTCAAAGTGCTGGTAACAGTAAGACATATTTGTGTAGTCTCATCAAAATCAGTCTTTTGTGGGGTGAGTCTAGGCGGAGAGGACCCTGGATTTGGGATACCCCTGCTCCTGTCTTTCTCTCTTTCTTTTTGACTCTTTTTCTGACAGATCTCTACCAGCATAGCAGCTGTGCTGATATAGCCAGTTGTGTCAGCAGATGGGAGATCCACCAGCCCAAGGGGGTTGGCTTCTGCCTATTCCAAGCATACTATAGCTAGTCATTCTTTGAGTTTGGATTGCACTGCCTGCTTTGTAACTATTATTACAAGAAATGAAGCAGCTTGTACTAGAAAAAGTGAGAGCCAACAAACAGGAGCGGGCAGCTAATCATCAGCACTTTTAGCATTAGCACTGAAAAGAACCTAGTGGCAAAGAATTATGCAAGTCAGTATGAATTTAAGATCCAGGAGGATCTTAAGAGGACACCGCAAACCCTCTCAAGGAAGTCAAGAAACCCTAACCACAGAGCACTTCTCTCCCTCTCTCCCTTTTATGAGCTTTTTCCAGTTCAAGTGTTCTAATGTGGTGGCTGTCTGCTGCATTTCTTATACACGATGATGTTTGGCAGTTTTTTCAAGTGTTCCACCATTGCTAAAGAAACCTTCATCCTGTGTGTGGTCTAGCTATGTATCTCATTAACTACTGGAAGCAAAGGCAAATGTGTGGTCGCTGGTCTGCACAAAGGAAAGTGGAAAATGAAAACTATGGCTTCGTTTTAAAGGATGTGTGTTTAATAACATCTAATTTAAACTTTCCTTTTTCCTACTGTCCTGAACAGAATACCTCCGGTCTTCTCCTGAATAAGTTTTTCTACGGAATGTTTCCATGGAGGTTTCTCATAAGTATCATGAACTAAGGATTCCAGTCTGGGCCTCTCAAACTCTGCTGCAAACATCTGCATGGCAAATGAGCACACCACAGGCTTTTACATGAAAATTCATAGATGTACCCTTTTGCCATGCACAAACGTCTAAGGAATAGGGCAAGAGTATGAAAGGTTTTTTTAAGCAAGAGCATTCGCACTGCTCCACAAATACTGTCAAGCCACCTCTCTTGTTTACGCCCCCTGTCACTCACTTACTGAATCTGCTGCTGCTCCAATGACCTGATCACTGGAGAAAGGTCAAAAGCTGCCTCTTGAAGTCATCGCTATCAAGGAAGGAAGGAATTGGATTTACCCTTCAGCTTCTACTGGGTCATTACTGGAATGGGGTTGCAGAGTCGCAACTGGTTTCAAAGGGGAATACTTTATTTTAGCAAAAACAACCAAGAATCCTCTGATACTTTAAAGGTGGATGAATTTTATCATGGGGTAAGTTTTTATATGCCAGAGCCTGCTATACCCCTGGTGTTTCCATTCCAACCTGGGTATTCCCTCACTATAAGTTTGAAAAGGCAATGCAAGAATTTTTGCTGCTTTGGTTCAATGAGGTGGCAACTTAGACATTGCTAAGAAGTATATAAGAAATATTTCGGAAAATGCATCTTTGTTAAGAAAAAGCAAAGCAATATTGGCATATCTGTCCCTTCAAACCAGTGTCCTTTAGGCATAAATATTAGTGAACTTGAAAAGAAGGGAGAGAGAAGATTTCAAGAGAAATTCTGGCATGTGATATTCTTAATGAAAAACAAAAAACAAAAAAACCCACAAGCAGGGAGTTGATAAACACAACAATAGGCATTGTAAAGCAGAAAAATAGTACATAAATCTATTTAACTGTTGATTCCATATTATTACATGATTCCTTAAAAATACACTAACAGGAGTGTAACCTTACTGCTTTCCTGCATTATTTCTAAAATTTGTCCCTGAGCTTCTACAAACGAATCAATTGTTCCACAGTGTTTATTAGGAGAGAAAGCTGCCCTCTAGCTGCCTTTGAATGTCTTCTAATATTCCAAACATATGAACATTTCAGGACTAAAAATGCACCTTATAGTGCAATTTTATAATTCCTACTTTAAAGTAAGTCCTATTGAGTTAAGCAAAACCTACTTTCCAAATAGTCAAGTATAGTCTTCAGAACATGTTCAGTTGTCCTTCAGATAATGCAGAATGCCATTCCAAAGAGCCCTAGCCTGCATAAACAATTGTGAGAGGTGCCAGGAGCTGACATGCAACATCAGATGGAAGGCCACAGTTAACACACCCTTCCTTCCTTCCTGGGAAACAATCTCCACTGATATCCATGGACATTAATTTCAGCCATGTGAGTCCAGGTTATGGTAACAGTATACAGGAGTCTCACAAACGAAATAGATCTGGTACTGGCAATGCACAACAAAGAAGTGAAATTTCCTAGTTTTTAACAAGCAAATACACACACAAAAGGAATTCAAGCAAACTTACTGAGGTGTTACCTTTAGTAAATAAAGAGAACTCGAGTCCTGGGCAGAGTGGAAAATGTGTCTGGCATCTTCCGAACCTTTGCATAATTGATAAATCCTCTGAGAAACAGGAGAAAGCCTAAAGAAAAATGGCATAATGTTTATACTCATATTGTCCTGTGAGACACAAGGATCATTTATTAAGGCGTTTTCTGTCAATTTCTAAGTTGTTAGTTTCCTTTTCTCGCTTTCCTTGTTGTGGTAGTTCAGCCATAGTGTCAAACCACGGGCAACCCAAATAAACGTCTGCCCATTCAGACAAAATGGTAAATCAAACCAAGGCCAGTGGCAGGAATTCTCACGTGCATGGAGAAGGGGCAGGGATATATGAACCACAGACTTCTGACTTGCTCCCGCAGGGGGGATCATATCCAAATCACCCTGTTGTCATTTGTCCCATGGAATATACCTGTGAGAAGTAGACATGGCCCAGCCCAATGCAAATTGTTCTTTATAGTACTCTAGATATATATAGCTATAGAATTTCAAATGTTGCTAAACTCACAACTGATCATGGGTATCAAATCCAATTTTTTGTTCCAACTGCAGTAGACCCACTAAATCAATGGGAATTTCTTTAATGCTTACGAAAGACCCATTTCTCTACTCAGTCTATCCTCCTGGAAGTAGTAATTAGATTTAACCTCTTAATAATGGATTAAAATCCATTATGCAGATTCAAAATAGTTCTGATATGCTGATCAGAATATTTTTCTGAGCATTCTAACAATAAACAAGTTTTTTTTCAAACAACCTGGTTGTCCATTCAGAAGCAGTTTAGGAATGGAGGTTTGTTCTAACCCCGCAGAACCTGCAACATACTGCACAACAAAATCTGATTTTAACTCTCATTATCTTAACTATGCTTGTGATCTGCACTCCAGAAAGGAAATGTACAAAAACCAGTTTTCCTGAAAAAATCATACCTTTGTATTCATTCATTCATTCATTCATTCATTCATTCATTCATTCATTCATTCATTCGATTTCTATCCCGACCTTTTAGTCAAAGTCTACTCCGGGCAGGTTCCATTAAACATTGCAACTAAAAGAGTTAAAAACAATTCAAAACAATAGTGATTAGTAATGCTTAGTAATGCTCAAGATGGGAAAACAGAAAATTATAATAAAAATAAAGCCAAGTACTGACAGGAGGGAAGGCCTGCCTAAAGAGCCAAGTTTTTAATTGGCTCTTAAACTTTGTGAGTTTTTTTTTTTTATAAACTGCAGTTGGATTCATCGTCCTGAATGATTCAATATCACTCATACCTGTCATTGCTCACTGTTATCTCCAAATTATTAAGCAGCAAAAGGAATATCCAAACAGAAATCCTCAGGGAACCACACTGCCAACTTTTCTCCATTAGAAAGCTGTCCATTTATTTCTACCTACTGCTTCCAAAACCAGATGCTGGCCCATAACAGTTCCCATCTTCTGTTGCAATCAGTGATAAATTTATTCAGGAGCCTGCGGTAAGCAGTTTTGTCAAAACCTTTTAAAAATGTATACCTCCTGAATCACCCCTTCTATGTGTCAAGACACCGTCACAAAATTAGAAAAGCCAGGTGAGGCGACCACTACTTTGTTCAAGGGTAGGTGGGTAACCTTTCCTCTTATGCAGTTGACAGTTACCGCATGGCACCTGCCTCCCTCACCCACCATAACAGAAGCAGTAACAAGTTCCAGAGGGGTATGAATTGGGGAAGCAGTAACTGAAGGACCAGAAGGGATTGAATTAATACAAAATTTTAATATTGCAATGAAACTTCTTTAAAAACACTCACTGGTTTTTACCCGCACTGAGAAAAAGAGCTTAGAAAGTTGCTTCTTAAAAGTAACTATTTCTCATTAACTCACTGGAGGGTTTGAAAAGGAATGCACTGTCGTTATTTGTTTCTATGCTAAAACAATAATTTGTTCCACCATTTGCATGCACTG